CTGGTCATCTGTAGAGGGTAAATTCAACCCAGCAAAGTCTTATATGAACTGATACAAAGCAAAGTGAGCAAAACCAGTAGAATATCGTACACAGAAACGGCAATATTATAAAGATGATTGGGGCAGCTAGGTGGCGCAGTGAATAGAGCACCTGCCCTGAAGTCAGGAGGACCTGAGTTCAAATCTGGCCTCAGACCAAACACTTGACACTTACTAGCTGTGTGACCCTGGGCAAGTCACTTAACCCCAGTTGCCAAAAAAAAAAAAAGATGATCAACTGTGAAAAAATTTGCTACTCTGATGAAGACAATGATCCAAGACAATTCCAAAGGACCTATGATGAAAAAATTTATCTCCCTCCAGAGAGAGAACTAATGAACTCCGAAGATTGAAGTATGCTTTTTAAACTTTCTTTATTTTTTTGTTTAGTGTGTATGTTTTATTTTGTACCATAGCTAATATGGAAATATACCTTGCAGTCCTCACATGTATAATTGATGTTACATTGCTTGCCATTTTAAGGACTGGCAAAGGGGCAGGTGGGAGGGAGAGAATGTAGAAATCAATTTTTTATGAATATTAAAAAATTTTACATCTTATTGAAAAATATTTCATGAAATAAATAAAAATATATTTTAAAAAGCAAAAATTCAATTCTTCCCAGCCCCCAAGTGCCTGATTACCTTCTTCAGGCACTCAGATTTTGAAACTATGATAGCCTAGCCCTCATGGTCTTAACTTAGTCATCATAGTACTCTAACATCAAGTGAACCCTATCACCTCATCATTCACCATCCTCTGGTGGAAATATTTCCAGTTCTCTTTCCCTTAATGTCCATGCTTCAGAGTCACTTGTTTTGAAAGGGAGAAAATGCCTATGTCTCTCTGTATTCTCATCCCTATCCACCTTAGTTCCAATGCCTCTACAATCCATATCATTTTCTGCCTTCCCATCCCAATGTATCCACTGGAAACCTCATATAATTGTTAACAATCTCTCCCTTGATATTAGGTTCCTTCACCCTCTTCTATGATCTTTGGATATCAGAAACCTGCCTCTCTCCCAAAGATGCTACATCCTTGGAAGTTCTCTCCAGGTTTATGAGCTCTTTTTCTTGCCCTCCTAAAGCATTGGCCAAAGAAGAAGAATAGGCATACTCCTTCCTCTGTTCTCTCACTTCCATATCTTGTCCACCTTTTTCACCTTTACCCAGAAGCTATATTTGTTCTGTATTGACAGTTGAGGGCAGGGGGCTAACAATGAGGAGAAGGGGGCAGGTAGCTGGACCTATACATAGATGAGAAATGAATGATGTCCACATCCCTGTTGTCCTATGGTGAATAGAACCTGTCTTCCTCCTCCTTTCCCTTTCACCCAGGACCATAGCTCTCTTTTCTCCTTCACCAACCACCCCCACCTAGTATCTTATACACAGGGCTGGTCCTTTAAGGGGTGAGATGTTATTTGATTTTCTACATTCCTTATTCCATACTTTCTCACCTCTTCTCAGGTGATCTACACTACTACCTTCCTCCCTCCCTCTCATCCTCCTAAATTTCTGAGGATCCAAAATTGACTCAATATATCCTTCCCCTCTCCTCCCATTGTTCTTTTATTTTTTTTTTATTTTTAGGCAATTGGGATTAAGTGACTTGCCCAGGGTCACACAACTAGTAAGTGTCAAGTGTTTGGTCTGAGGCTGGATTTGAACTCAGGTCTTCCTGAATCCAGGGCCAGTGCTCTATGCACTGCACCACCTAGCTGCCCCTATTCCCATTGTTCTTAATCTGGCAACTAAGAACTTTTAAAAAAATATATTTTAATAATTGTATTCCATATCATTGATTTCCTTTGCAATTCTCTATATATCTATATAATATTTATGTATTTTAAAATGTTATTATGGGAATGCTTCCATAGGCTTCATTATGCTGTCAAAGGGGTCCATGACATAAAAAAAAACAATTAAGACCTTCTGCTCTACTCAGAGGCCATCATTCCTCATGAAAAAGAAAACAAAATAACAAAAAAGTGGGGAGAGTATTTCATCAAAAGTAATTAACATGTCAACCAAGTCTTTAGCATATGCAATGTTCCAAACCCATAGGCCTCCACTTCTGTTTGAATAAAAGAGATATGCATTTCCTCAGTTTTTCTCCAGGATCAAGCTTGGTGATTAAAATTAAATAGCTTTATCTGGTTTTGAGAGGGGAAATTTGAGGTCCCACTAGAATAGTTTTACTGTCTGTTTCCTTCTGTAACTCATTTAATTTCTTTAAAAACTTCAATGCTCTACTGTTTGGTACATATGAAACAAGAATTTATTAAGCACTTACTATGTGCCAGGTACTGTGCGAAGCACTGGAGATGCAAACATAAGCACAAGGAAAGAAGGCCCCCCTGACTAGTATTGCTTTGGATGTTCAGAAATTCAGGAATAAGATCTGGAGAAGAATGAAGGCTAGTTTAAGTGCTTCCAAAAAATGGAGGGTCTAGGAGGAATTCATCAATGGGAGAAGGGAAGCCTGCTTTACAGAGAAATATCCAGAATAAGCAGGCTACATGTTTGATAGGTCTTTCAAGAACTAGGAGGCCATAGCTACTTAGGGAAGTTCTAGGTAAATAGAAAACTATTGCATTTTTTTTAAAAGTCAGAGTTAAATGATATAAAATTATAATAACCAGTCTTGTCCCCAAAGTGATATGAAAATTAACCTCCATTTATTTTTGGCAGAGTAAGAGAATGAGGGGCATGGAATATTTCATGTAATGATAGAATTTAATGGTATTTATATGTTTTTGTTTTATTTTTCTTCTTTCTTTTTATTTTTTGTTATAAGAGACAACTTTCTGGGAAAGGAAGGTGGAGGGCACTTTGGGAAATGAAGAATGATGTAAAAATACAAGGTAATAACAAAAGTTTAAATAATAAAGTGTGATTGCTGCAGATGTTTTAGTTTATTTTGGATATTCCCTTCTGTCTTTGACCTCTATTTGAGTCAAATGGCATGGACATTTTGCATATTTTAGCATAAATTCTACATATCTTAGAATGTTTGAATAATTCACAGAGTCACCAACAGTGTTAATGATCCTGTTTTCCTCTCACTCCCAAACCTTAACTATTTCCATCTTTTGGCACTCAAAAATTTGTTGACCAGGAGCTCAGTCCCTCTCTTTCTCCCATCTTCAATCTCTTTATACATACTGGTTCATTCCCTACTACATTTAAATATCCCTAAGTCTAAAAAAAAATATTTTATCTCTTTGAATGGATAGTCATCCTGCTAGTTAAGGCTCTGATTATCGGCTTGATAGAAAACTGTACAAGCTGGAAGAGTTGTGAGTTTGGGCAAATTATGACCTCCCTGGGCCTCAATTCCTCATCTCTAAAATAAGAGTGTGGGACTAAATTATATCTAAGGTGTCTTCCAGCTCTTTATGTATAACATATTATTTTGTGATAAATCAGGAATTCTCCATCAATGTGACTATGAAAGTTCAACTAGAACACCTAGCAATGACTTTGTTGCTACTATCTGACCTCTTCCCTCCAAACCCTCTACACAATACTCTGCTTGGGTTATCTGGTAGGTCCTTAGGACGTTCTCCCTCTGGCATGAGACTTGTGAAGCAGATTCAGAAACGACCATGATTCTTCAAAATATAAATTCCTTTAAGGCAAATACTCTTGTTTTTGTCTTTGTATTCTTGAGTTTCTGTCAGGAAAAGTCAAGGATGACCTACAGCAGGTCAGATGGCCCCCATATGGAGACTTTGTTGAGACAATGAGAACTGAATAGAATGAAAGGCATGGATGATTTATCATCTGCATCATTGGGGGAACCCCAAAATCAATGAGATCACAGGTCCATTAGAGTACCGATTATCCTAAGTATCTTAATTTTTTAATGGACTTGTGATTCAATCAGAAAAGGGATAGGCTTAAAAATGTTTTTTTTTTAATTTTAATTCCTAATTTGGGAATACTAAATGCTATTTAGAAGGTATAAACACTATCTTTTTCCCCCATACACATCAGCATCATTGTGTCCATACAAGGGCTGGATATCCAAGGAAAGTTCTACAATAAAATATGCCTTGCAATCTCCCACACTCATTCTCTGCTCTCTCACTGAAATTCACTTTAAAAACACTATCTCTCTATCCACTTTCTAGTCTTCTTAGAACCCAGGCTGACTTCCTAACACCTCTTCACACAAATGCTTTCTGCATCCTAGACCCCAATATACTGAAGTAAGGCCTAGATGACAGTGTATGTACCTGAATGTCCTTTCCCACAGTATGGGATGCCCTGTGGCAACACTTGGAACCACTCCACATGTCAAAGAGTGAGTTTTCCAATAATAAAAGAATCTTTTATGAAAAGGTCATTAACAGTCATATCTAAGAGTACACAATCTGTTGGTGAAAAGGCAGACTGAACTTTTCCTGAGCCTCAGAGAGAATTAACTGGGTGAACATTCTCCACCTCATCATTTAAACTCTTTCCTAATAATAACTGATATTTACAAACTTTAAAGTTTCCAAAGTGTTTTCAATATATTTTCTGATTTGAGCTTCACAACTAAACCATGAAGCAGAGACTATATGCATTATTGTCTCCATTTTACAGATGGGAAAATTGAGGCTTATGGTGGTTAAATGACTTGACTGTAGCAATCCAGTTAATGTAAGAGATAAGATCTAATCCAGGTCTTCCTGACCAAAATCAGCATTAGTTCTGCTACCCTATATTGCCTCATAATGCATGGCACCTTTTTTTCAGGCATTAAATCCTCCTGCCAACTCTCACAGATGGCATCCTAAAATGCTTTCTATGTACACACACTGTCATCAGAAAAATCCCTGCACCAATTTGAAAAGTATCCAGCCAATGGAATAGCACCTAACCAAAGGATATGGCCACATCTCTTCATGACATGATTATGTGTCTATAGTTGTGAAATGTTAAAATTATATGGTTTTATGGGGAAACTCTCCCCAGCTGATCACTTTCTGAATAGCTACCTGGACAGCTCTATTCCTGAGACTGTAAACCATGGGATTCAGCAAGGGGGTAATAATGGTATAAGTAACTGTTATCAACTGGTCTTTTACTGATGTCACCCGGGATGAGGGTCTCACGTAAACAAAGGATGCACAGCCATAGTGAACTACAACCACTGTTAGGTGGGAGATGCAGGTAGAAAAAGCCTTCCGTTTCCCCTCAGCTGATGGAATCTTCAAGATGGTGCTGACAATGAAGCCATAGGAAATGCAGATGAAAATTAATGGGACCATGAGCACAAAGACACTACAGATAAGTATGAATAGCTCATTGACATAAGTGACACCACAGGCAAGGTGAATAACAGGTGAAATGTCACAAAAATAGTGGTTGATCTTATTAGAGTTACATAAGGGCAAACTGAAGACCAAGGCTGTGACTAATATTGAGATGAAAAAGCCAGTCACCCCACAAGTGGTTACTAGTACTCTGCATGTCTGCCAGTTCATGAGGATGGGGTAGCGTAGAGGGTGGCAGATGGCAGCATAACGATCATAACCCATTACAACCAACAACAGGCAGTTTGTGGCTGCAAAGCCAAGGAAGAAGGACATCTGAACAGCACAGCTAGTAAAGGAAATGGTTCTGAGCAAAGACAGAAGATTGGTGAGCATCTTTGGCAGGATAACAAAGGTATAGCAGGTCTCAGACACAGAGAGAGCACCTAGGAAGAAGTACATGGGGGTATGGAGGCTATGTTCCAGGATGATGACAGTGACAATGGTGATGTTCCCAATCAGAATGACAAGATAGAGGAAAAGGAAGATAACAAAGAGCAAAAGCTGCATTTCTTGGAGGTTGGAAAAGCCCAGCAAGAGGAATTCAGTGACCATGGTTATGTTCTTAGGAAGCTGTCCCCAGGGAATGACCTGCAGAAAGGAGCAAGGGAGAAAGAGGCTGCTGAGTTTTATAGACTGAGGAAACTGAGGAACATTTATTCTGAATTATCTAGGAGATTGCTACTGCTTTGGGCTTGTTCAAGAGATATTTCAAGAAAAGAAAAGAAATGCAAGGAGAAGATTTAGAAGAAGGAGAAGTAGTTAGTAGTGAGTGAGTGGGATATAGACATAATTAAGTGAGAAGTTTAAGGCCCCTAAACATTTGACTACTCCCACTGACTGGACTTAGACTAAATACTTAAGGTGTTATATTTGGGATTTACTGAGACTTCGGAGGACTTCCCCAAGAGGATAAAGAATATTTGGGCTTAAATTTTTCACAAGCATTCAAAAGAACTTAGTTGGTAAGAGAGTTCCTGTGGTCTTAATGAAGGGACTTTCTTCCAGTTATGGAAACACTACTCATTGAGGCTTAATGGCTAGAGTGAGATAAAAGCAGATGAGCAGGTGGACTAGAGATTTAAAGGAGAGAAATTGGATGAGTATCAAAGGAGGGGGTCAAGAGCTAATACCCTGAAGGCCAGACCAGAAGATATGTCACCTGTTAACAGAGGGGGAAACGGAAATACAGTCAGCAGCAGCTCTTTTTTCCCTGCTTTCCCAAAGCTCAATAGTAACTTAAGCTTCAAGCCCTTGTCACAGCCTTTCATATCTTCTTTGCTTACATTTTAATTACTTGTTACTGCTAATAAATTCCATGACTATTATTATATATAATACATTCCATAACTATTAAGAGTGGTTTGACTCTCAGCCTATAAATTTGTGCCACGAGATGGAGAGATGAGAAGCTAGCCTATGGAAAAAGAGATTTCTTCATTCTTATTATGGAATGGAGGTCCAAGACAACCAGTGGGTGGATAAGATGGCATCATCCACATGAAAGATGCTGGAGGCCTTGCTTGTGAGATCCTGGAATGTAATAGACCTTGTCCTCAGAGAACGGATCTAGAACAATTACGTAACACTAGGAATAAAGTCTAAGATTATCCCACCCCATCCCCACATCTTTGGTGTCTTTCCCTGACTCAGATATTTTAAGAATTTAAAATGCTATTAAAATCATGTCACCTCCAGCACTGATAACTTCTTTCTACAATTGAGTTGGTCTAGGCTATCTGCTTTCCACATCATTGCTCTCTTCAGTGACACTTCTACTTCCTCCTTAATCATTTTTGATACTCTAGTGTTATAGTCCAAGTGTAGTAGCTCCTCCATACTTGAACTCCGTGTTTTGTTATATATCTACATCTACATATGTTTACACATATATGTACATATGTATATATTTGCAAATGTTGACATCTTTCATCCTTTTTCTTATCCTTACTGCTGCTTTAGCCTTAAATGCATTCAGGGTTATTTGCTTAGTTGGGTCTCTTGCCAAGGTTTTTCAAATAGGCTTTATCCTCCATTGCTTCTATTTTATAGAACAATCCTGTTCATAATTTTCCATGATCCTGTATTAGACCAGTTGATATTCTAAGCCAGTGATGTCCTTGGATGCCATATCTTGACAAAAAAAAAAGTATTTGTTCCCTAACATAGTTTTCCAGTTTCTGTGTTCTACTTGTAGCAATTGTGGCACTTCGGTTAAACTTCAACATGAAGTTATTTCAATAACTGTTGATTTCCTTTCCTCTATCTATATCACCTTTCTTATTATCAATAACTTGCTTAACAAGTCAGGTTGGAATCCTAGACAACAATTTGCCCAAAGGGCTATAAAAAGTGTTCACACTCTTTGACCCAGCAATACCTCTACTAGGCCTGTACCCCAAGGAAATCAAATTAAAAGAAAAAGGACCCCATATGTTCAAAAATATTTATAGCAGCTCTTTTTGTGGTGACAAAGAATTGTAAATTTAGAGGAAACCCATCAATTGGGGAATAGCTAAACAAATTATAGTATATGATTGTGATAGAATACTATTGTGCTATAAAAAATGATGAAGGGAATGGTTTTGGGGGAAAAAAACCTGGGAAGATTTATATGAATTGATGCAAAATGAAACAAGCAGTATTATGAAAATTAAAAAAAATAATCAACTGTGTAAGACTTAGTAATCCTGACCAATACAATGATCTCCCAGAACTTCAAGGACTCATGATGTAAAATGCTATATACCTTCAGATAGAGAACTGATGGACTCAGAGTACAGATTGGAGCAATTTTTCCCCTTTCTTTTTTTTTAAGAACATGGCAAACAAATGGAAATATATATATATACATTAATTCATATATTTTGTATTTCTTGCCTTCTCAAAGGGTGGAGGAGGGACTGGAAAAATAAAAAAATAATTTGGAACTGAAAATTAAAATTAAAATTTAGAAGGTCAAATTGGTGTTATTTTAGTTTCATATTATATTTTTAAAAGTTATTTTTCTCTGGATTTGTATTGATTTTGCTCTTTATGCTAATAAGTCAGTGAACTGACTGTATACTGACATGTAATTTAGAAATGACTTTCACATCGCTAATAAATCATTTCTTATCTGTTAAACTATAATCAATTTCATTATTCTGATGTTATTTTGGTGATCACCACATCTCTTTTTTTAGTGTATTTATGGTGCAATGTCATGAGACTGCCAAATAATCTACCAAATACTTGGTCTTTCTCATTCCTTATTCCTGAACAATATTTCTTCACATATTTTCCACTGTACTTCCTATTCCCATCTTTACAATGAAATCAATGATGATCAAAGCATATGTTAATTACATTTGAAATCTTTACCAATCTTTTCAAAGAATTTTTCTACTTCATCATTTGCTACAGATGTTAGTAGAGAAGAAGGATTTTTTTAAAATGAAAAAGGCACACAAATTAAATACCCTACATCTAATCTCTTCAATCTAGTTGCTGGTGCTTAAAATATAGATAATGGAAGAAAAACAGACTAGACAGTAACTTATAGTTATTCATTAAAGAATATTAAATTATTTAAATAAATTACTTTAACAAGGAAAGCATATTTGACTAGAATCAGCCTTTGTTAGCAAACAAATGATTTATTTAACAAACAAGGCATTATGGAAACCAGGGGTATTATCTCAAAAATAACGGTTACTCTAGTTTCAATTGCCATTCCCAAAGAGATTAAATATACTGATATTGTATCTTCAAGAAGCAATTAAGTCTTAGGGAGTTGCAATTTTACTTGTCATTTTGGAGATAGTTAACTCTAATGTCTGAAAAGAATATCAATTAAGGTAATAATAAAATACTAATAACTCCCTTCCTGGAAATCTGATTTTAATTATTAATCTTGCAAAGAAACATAATGAAGAGTATTCTTGAAAGACTTTGATTGTTATCATGAGGAAGCTAAATGATGGGATCGCGTTTCCAGAACTGAGAAGTTAGAAGTTTCAGTTATGGTTATAAGTGACTTGGGTCATGATATTCTTCATAAATGACAATGTAAATAAGTACTTATATTTCTGTTTTATTGTTGCTGTTGTTTTGTACCATTAATAAACTGTGTAGTCAAAAACCTTGATATTATAAGTCTAGAAATTTAGGGGACTTGAGAAAGAAAGATGAAGTACGTATTATAGGAAAAGAGGATTTTCTAGCATATATATTATTAAATTGACAGGGATGGAGCTCAAAGTTAACTAACTCATGAGAAGAGTGCTACAATTTGAGCATAATGAAAAAAGTTACATCAGAATCTAACCCTTGCTATTCTTTAATCAAAAAAATAATGCATTATGAACATTGGGATTCATACCAGGGATGTAAAAATGAATCAACATTAGAAAAACAAACAATATAGTGAATCATATCAAAACAAAAACATAGAGGTGGAGCTAAGATGGCCTAGTAAAGGCAGAGACTCACCTGAGCTCTCCTCCAAAACCCTCCAAATACCTTTATATAAAGACTCTAAAAAAATTTTTGAGCATCAGAACCCACAAAAAGGTGCAGTGAAATAATTTTCCAGGCCAAGACATCTTACAAAGTTGGCAGGAAAGGTCTGTTGCACCAGGGTGAGAGAGAAGCACAGTTCAGCACAGGCCATGCCAGCACAGACCAGGGACTAGCAAATCAGGAGCAGGCCTCCCAACAACTGAATCAGTGGCAGTAGTGGCTGTTTCCAGACCTCTCAGCCCACAGATTCCAAATACAACTTAGAAGGTGGGCAGAAAAGTTCTTTTGCACCTGGGTGAGAGTGGAGCACAATCCAGTGCAGGCCATGCCGGCATAGCTCCAGCCCCAGCAAACCAGGAAGAGGCTTTGGGAGTCAACGAATCAGCAGCACCAAGAACTGCTTCTGGAACTCTCAGTTCACAGATGATAAGGGGGTCAAACAATTGGTCAGAAGGAGATTACAAAGGTTTCTTTGCTGAAACTGGGGGCAGGACTCTGTTGCTTCAACCATGTTTGGATCCAGGCCACAGTGCCAGGTCATAGGCAAGGAAGAGCACTAGCATACCAGAACTTGCAGCTACAGTGGAGCAGGGATCCTCCTCACAGTTCCAGGGCAGAAAAGAGCACTTGTGATCATTCACAGACCAGAGCACAGGCCAGGAAAGTAGTAAACACCTCTCCTTAGACCATACCACCTCAGAAGAACTGAAAACTTACAGGTTCCAGATGTATTTCTGAAAACAGCTGCACAAAACCCCTGAAGCTTGTCCCCTGAAGGGACAGTGTTCCCTTCACTCTGGAAGTAGAGCCCAATTTTAACAAACAGTTAAAAATCGAGTTATAGACTGGGAAAATGAGCAATAACCTAGAAAACATACCAGTTCATATTCTGATCAGGAAAGCCAATACAAAGTCACAGAGAATAATTTTTCCAGCCCAAGGCAGCTTAAGAATATGGATAGAGAGGGAGGTAAGGTGCCTGGCCAGGAACACAGCACATTAGTAGTAGAGGCAGCAGTGCAAGCATAATAGCACCCAGTGCAAGTAAAGGACCTGAGAATGAGCACATGCTTGTGTACCAAGCAAGGAGCAAGTTCCAAAAGCTTAGCTGTGTGGCACTGAGCCCAGGAGCAGAGAGGGGATTCAGTTCTAGCCTTTGGCCCTGTATATAACCCTACTATAGAACAACCAGGGAAGAAAACAAAGACCAGAGAGCCCAGCTGTTTAGTGATTCTAAACCTGCAGAACTTTCCAGTGGGTGACAGTAACTGAGTCCAGTGGCAGTTTACTAAAACTTAACTGCATACAAATGCACAGACTCAAAGCTGGAGCAATGAACTTACAAAGCTTATACCAGAGGGGATATGAATACACCTCTCCCCAGATCACACCACCTTGGAAGTATGGCAAAACATATAAGTCCCCAAAATGAGCTGCTAAAACAGAACAAAAACATAAAAAGACAGAGCATCAAACCAGGTGAGCAGAGTCCCAAACTTACATAAAGTCCAAAGTCAAGAAGCAGGCTGGAAGAATGGGCAAATAAAAAAAATAAAATGACCAAAAAAAATCTATATGGTGACAAGAAAGCTCAAGAAACAAAACACAGAAAACAATGATGTGAAGAGATATACAGGCAAAACCTGAAAGAAAATGCAGATTGGACATAAACCCAACAATAATTCCTAGAAGAGCTAAACAAAGTGTTTTTACAAAAAAAAAAAAAGCAAAAAAGATTTTAAAAAACAAATAAGAGTAGTAGAATGAAAAGTAGAAAAAGCAATTAATTATGCAAGAAAGATATGAAGAGAAAACCAACAGTTTTGTAAAAGAGGCACAAATCATTAGTTAAGAAAATAATTCCTTAAAAATTAGAATTGACCAAATGGTAAAAGAAATACAAAACCTTACTGAAAAAAAGAATTGCTAAGGAGAGCCAAAGTAGAGAAAGATAACTATAGAACAATTCCCCTAATAAATAATAGTGCAAACATTTTAAGTACAATATTAGTAAAGTGATTACAACAGCATATTACAAAGATTATACTCTATGACCAGACTGGATTCACACCAGGAATGCAGGTCTGGTTGTATATTAAGAAAACTATATACATAATTGGCCATATCAATAACAAAAAAGCAACAAAATTTTTAGTATTATTTCAATGGATGCAGAAAAGGCTCTTGACAATACAACACTCATTCCTAATAAAAAAAACCACTAGAAAACATAGGAATAGAGCTTTCCTTAAGATTATAGGTAGTATCTAAAACCAAGAACAAGCATTGTCTCTAAGAGAGATAAGTAAGGAGCCTTTCCAATAAGATAAGGGGTGAAGTAAGGATGTCCATTAATACCATTATTGTTCAATAATGTGTTAGAAATGCTAGCTATAACAATAAGACAAGAAAAAGAAATTAAAGGAAAAAGCCCAGGTAATGAGGAAGCAAAACTATCACTTTTTGCCAATGATATAATGACTTACTTAAAGAATTCTAGAAAGTCAGCTAAAAAGCTAGCAAAACAATTAATACCTTCAGCAAAGTGGCAGGATATAAAAGAAAACCACACAAATCAACAGCATTTCTATTTATTACCGACACAACCCAGCAGGAAGAAATAGAAAGAAAAATTCCATTAAAAATAAATGAAGACAGTATAAAATACTTGGCAGTCTGCCTGCCAAGACATGCCCAGAAACTATATGAACACAATTACAAAAGTCTCTTCACACAAATAACTGCTCATGGGTAGGCTGAGTCAATATAATAAAAATGACAATACCACCTAAATTAATTTACTTATTTAGTACCATACCAATCAAACTTCTAATGAATTACTTTATAGAGCTAGAAAAAAGGTCAAAAATATCAAGAGAATCAGTGAAAAAATAATAAGAAGGAAGGGTACATAGCAGTAGAAGATCTCAAATTATACTACAAAGCTGTAAATAATGAAACTATTTGGTACTGGATAAGAAATAGAGTGGTTGATTAACGGAATAGATTAGATGCACAATACATAGAAGAAATAAGCACAAGTTATGATCTATGATTGGGATGGAATATTCTTCTGCTACAAGAAATTACAAAGGGCAAGATTCCAGGAAAACCTTGCAAGACCTGTATGAACAGATGCAAAGTAAAGTGAGCAGAACCAGGAGAACAATCTAACTAGTAATATCAATATTATAAAGATAATCAACTTTGAAAGACCTAACAACTCTTATCAACACAATGACCCACCACAATTCCCAAGGACTCCTAATGAAATATCTGTTTCTACAGCCTCCCTCAAAACAGGACCACTGTTCAATGCTCTTGTGCATTCCCAGGTCCCTTCTAAAATCATAGAATTCAGAGGTAGGAGGAACTTGAGAAATGATCTACAATGACTCCTTCTTGTGTCATGAATACCCATTGTAACATCTTTAACAAGTGATCATTATTTCCAGTAACTACCTTAAGTTACTACCTTAGAAAGCAGCCCATTAGATATTCAGATGACTCAATTGTTAGAAGCATCTTTCTCAAATTGAACTAAAATTTCTCTCCTTGTAACTTTTTCATTGGTACCAATTTTACCTACTGGAGTCAAGCAGAACAAATTCCTATTCAACATTGCAACCTTTTAAACACTTCAAAACCAGCTAGTTAGTGTCTAAGGGAGAATTTGAATTTTGGTCCTCCTGAATCCAGGTCAAGCACTATGTTCACTACAGCATTGCAAAGATTGTATCTTATTTATATTTATTTTCCCAATCCTGAGAGGAAGATATGATTATTTTTATCAGACATGTGTTGTTCTAAGTGGTTGTTGAGATCCTTTCTAACTAAAATGCTATGATTCTGTGATCCTCATTTTACAGATAAAGAAAATAAACCCCATAGAGATTAAGTGAGGCAGGTTAGGTAGTACAGCAGATAGAGAACTGGACCTGGAGTCAGGAACACCTTAATTTAAATCCAGTCGCAGACACTTACTAGCTGTGTGACCCTGGGCAAATCACTTAACTTCAGTCTGCTTCAGTTTCCTCATCTGTAAAATGGGGATAATAATTGTACCTACCTCCCAGGGTTGTTGTGAGTATCAAATGAGATAATATTTGCAAAGCCCTTCACAAAACTTAATGCTCTATATACATAGTAGGTATTATTATTACTACTAATCATTGTTATATGCCAAATCTTAAACAGCTTCCAATTGGTGGGACCAGGAGAAAACCTGGGTTTTTTCACTTCCAGTCCTATATTCTGCCCACTCCATCACAGAACCAGGGAATAGGGATGCTTATTGAATTAGAAAGCTCCCCTAGTTTTTGTTCCCAGGGTGGATAAATTGCTGCAGCTGATAGTGGAATGACCAATTCATCAATACATCAACAAACATTTCTTAAGTGTCTCTTATGTGTCAGGCACTATGCTTGCCACTGGGGGTATAAGTACAAAGAATGAAACAATCCCTAGTTAAAATAAACTTTCATTCTATTGAAGGAAATGACTGACAAATAGACTGGTGTGGAATTGCCTCCAGGACTTTCCCCAGATGAATTGACTCTCCCTTACCTCATCACTACTCAGGCTCTTCATCCTTAGTGTTGGGCTGACTGATCCCCAGAGTGAGGCAGGAATGTGAAATCCAAGGAGGATAGCTTCCAAGATGGCAAGATCACTTTTACTTATTTTCCCCTTTTTCATACAATGTGGATCTCAACAGTGACTTAACTGTGGCTCTGGAGTGGCAAAGAGTAGGAAGGGAGTGTGGTTAAAAGGTCAATACATTTATCTCCCTGCTCACATAGCATTCAGGAGGCTATCAGGAAAAGGTGAGTTTTCTGGGGTAACAGATCAGATAACAAAGATGTAATTGAGGAATGTGAAAATACTTGCACTTGAAAAGGAGGGAAACTTGGTGGGGGGAAATGAGAGAAAAATGAGTTGATAAAAAGGATAATTAGTCAATTTGCCAGAAAAATTGAAGGTGTAACTGATGTGGATGACATGAAGGACACCATGTCTTCTGTAACAGAAATACAAAAGGAAAAACAAAGTCAGAGTTTGAAAGTTCCTTGGTTTCTCTACACCTGCTTTACTACTTAGGAAATAAAATGACCTCTGACCATTTCAACAGCAGTACTGCCTTTCTTCCTTTCCTGCTTCTTTGTTGTTTCATTCCGCTCATTTTGGTTCCATTATCTCCACACAACCTCCTCCTCAACTCCCCCAACCTCCGGCTCAGATGAACACTTAGGACCTCTCTTCACTCCCATAATAATCTCCTCCCTTCATTTGTTTGTCCAGTGACTATAGGGAGTGAAGAATAAGAC